CTTGCTGTGATTTATGTCATAGAGCGTTCTGCCTATGTTTTCCTATAAGAGTTTGATAGTGTCTGGCCTTATATTTAGGTCTTTAATCCATTCTGAGTTTATTTTTGTGTATGGTGTTAGGGAGTGTTCTAATTTCATTCTTTTACATGTAGCTGTCCAGTTTTCCCAGCACCACTTATTGAAGAGGCTGTCTTTTCTCCATTGTACATCCTTGCCTCCTTTATCAAAAATAAGGTGACCATACATGTGTGGGTTTCTTGGATCTGAAGTTCTTATCTGTCCCTACAATGACTCACTGGCTCATCCACTGGTTGAGGGACCGCTGGTACCTGCCAGACCCCACCCACTTAGGACTCCAGAACCTAGCCTCTCCTCGTCTCGTTGATGAGTATATAGAAAATATCTTTCATGACGTCTAAACTTTAGTTCATTGACAAAGGATTTTTCCCCTTAAAACTTATACTTGAAATGTAATTTCATTTCTCTAGGTCTCTTGATTATAAAAATGAGAAACTGTTTGGTTAGGCAATTAAGTTTAGATCAGAGAGCAAGACCATGTAACTACTCTAACTAAGAACCTGCAGACCCATCCTCACCTTCAATTTCTTCCTCTCCATCCATGTGCAATTAGTTCCTCAAGTCTGAAATGACTTTTAAAATCTCCCCACCCTCTCATGCTGGCTTATTTCATAACTTCTTGCCTCCACCATGGCTAAGAGCCTTTTAACTGACTTCTAGCATAAGACCCTCCTCTATCCAATCTGCCATCCAAACTTCCCCCATCATAATATGGCCATGCCCTTTTCCTCTTAAATCTCAGCAATGGTTCTCCACTGTCTGAGGCATTAAGTCCACACAGCTTTTAAAATTTGGTTCCAACCTATTTCTACTCTCCTCTCAGTCTCATCCTCCATCAGCCTTCCTTACCAGGCAGCCTGTACTTTAGGAGGAAGGAAGGAAAGGGGGGAGGAAGGGAGGGAGGGAAGGAGGGAATGGAGATTTTCTGCAATCTGAGAAACCCAGGAAGCAACATAAGTCTCAAACTGCTGCTGAATTAACTTTCTTAAGATTCAATCTGATTATACCATTTCTTGGCTTAAAACCCACAGCATGCTTTCTTGTGCTAAGAAAAATCATGTCCAATTTATTTATATTTTAACATGCTACTAAAGGCCCTTGGAGATTGGGCACCTAGCCTATCTCAGTTCCCATTAATATATTCACACTCTCTATGTGCAGGGGTTACTACTCAAACTAACCCATTCTTTTCTTGCTCCACATTGTCGCTCAACCTCTTCTTCTCTCTGACCCACATTCCCTTGCCAAATCATACTCATCTTTGAGAACTACTGCAAATGTATCCTTACCCACGAAGACTTCCTGATCTTCAGCTAGAAGTGCATACTCCAGTCTCTGAACTCCATACTGCTAATCCTATAATACCTTGCTTTAGACCAGTGATTCTCAATCCTGGTTGCTCCTTAGAATTGGCTTAAAGGCATTTTAAAAATCCTGGTGGGCTTCCCTGGTGGCGCAAGTGGTTGAGAGTCCGCCTCCCGATGCAGGGGACACGGGTTCGTGCCCCGGTCCGGGAAGATCCCACGTACCGCGGAGCGGCTGGGCCTGTGAGCCATGGCCGCTGAGCCTGCATGGAGCCTGTGCTCCGTAACGGGAGAGGCCACAGCAGTGAGAGGCCCACGTACCACAAAAAAAAAAAAAAAAATCCTGGTAACCAGACCCTACCACTCAGAAAGTACAACTTAAGTATTGGCATATTTTTAAAACTCCCCAGATGATTGTGATATGAAGCCAGGGTGAGAACCACTATGTAAAAGTCACTGGTGTACTTACTATCTTCTCTAATGGAACGAAAGGGCCTTGACTTATCTTCATAATCATCATATTACCAAACACACAATAACTGTTCAGTAAATGATGGAAAGGGGGAAAAAAAGAGAAACAGAGAAACAAAGGAAAAAAGATGACTTCACAATACTTAAAAACTCAGTAACTAAACTTAAAGGAAGCCTTGTTCTCCTAAATTCCTGGAAGAAATGATGAGGGCGCTATCATTTGTATCACCTGCCTTAAAAAAAAATTCTCCACTACAGTAAAAAAAGGTAAGGCAAAATCTCATTACTAATGAAGGAGCCACTTTATCTTGGGGGAAGAGACTATTCTCCATCACTTGGAAATCATACATTTACCCCATGAGGTACTATTCTAGGAAACATGAGACTCTAAAATATCTGTTGTAGAATACATTCTAGTAATGAGATGGCGTGAGAGGGATCTCTGCCAATCAGAGGCAAGAAGAAAAGAAGGAAGTAGGAAACAAATTCTGAAAAAGAATTCTAAGCAGGTCTCTAGCTACCCATAAAAGGTGGAAGAAAGAAGAGAAGCATTAGATGCAATTTAGAAAAAGAAATCATGCTCACGTTTCTTAATCACAGACTAAGAGGATATAAGGAGTGCAATAATAAGCCTGTAGGAATGTCAGAATAACCCTGATTAGAGACAAGACAAAATGTTGTGTGTTTTAAAAGAGTTTTTAACTAGTGAAGAGTTAGGGAAGTTCTGAGGATTTCTGTAACCCATCTGGAATAAAGCTTCACTGAAATCATGGATTGCTATCCATTTTTCTAAATAACTGCTTTATTCAGATATAATTCACACATCATTAAATTCACCTTTTTAAAGTGTACAATTCAGTGGTTTTTAATATATTCAAAGAGTTTTGCAGCCCTCACCGCTACTTAACTTCAAAACATTTTCTTCACTCCATAAAGAAACCATATAACCTATCAGCAGTCACTCCCATCTTCCTCAAAGCTGCCGGAGGCAATCACTGTCTATTTTCTGTCTCTATATATTTGCTTATTCTGGATATTTCATGTAAATGGATCATATAATACGTGGCCTTTTATGTCTGGCTTGTGTCACTCAGCATCATGTTTTCAATTTCATTTTTTATATTGTTAACTGATAGTCCATTGTATGGATACACTACATTATGTAGTCAATTATTTAGTAATAATTTGTTGAGGTCTTGGGGATCTTAAGATAAAAAAGACCTTGTTTTTAAGAAATCCAAGAAGTTTCAAGAAGTGAGAGATAGATAAAGAGAATAACATATCAATGGCCAACTTAAGGAACTGACGGAACATAGACTTCAGAATGGAAAATGAGGCTGGGAAAGACAGGCAGGAGCCAGACCAGGAAAGGCATGAAGGGCCTGGTGCCTTGCCAAGTGATCTAGATTTGACGCTCTATGCAAAAGAGAACCTCACTTCAGGAAGAGCCTTCCCACCATTTTCCTTTTTCTCATTTTCCAACACCTACAGATAAAAACCCAAACCATAAATACACACACTCACGCCCATCTCAGCTAAATAAATTACTACTCATTCTTCAAAGCCCCCTCCAAAAAGCATTCTCTGATCATCCTGTCAGTAAACACTCATTTTCTTTACAAGCTCTAACGGATTTTTCATACCTTTTTCATAGTATTTATCATACACTGATAAATGCTAAAACAACTGCAATTACCCCCACTGGAGTATGATCTACTTAAGGGCAAGGACAGTATCAGATATTTCTGAAATCCAAGCAGTGTAACTGTTGAATGAATACATGGAAAAATGTAATAGATTTGGTGGAAAGCAGGTCTCTTGGAGGATGCGAACACAGAAGAGTCAGTTTCAGTGAAGAGTGGTGTGAAGGTAAAAATACAGAACACTGATGGAAGAGGCACAAGCCTGGGAAGAGCACAGAGGAGAGGTGACTGGCAGCCGGAAGGGGAGAAGCAGATAGGGGTGATAATGGCAACTGAGCACTTGCCATGTGCCAGACAAAATAACTGTGCTTTATCACATTTAATTTTCTCAACAACCTATGAGGCATCTATTATTAGCCTCATTTTACAGGAAAAGAAACAAGCTTGAAGAAGGAAACGAACAGTGGCAGAAGTAGGATTCTACAACCTATGTTTAATTGCAAAGGCCATGTGCATTCTTATCTGCCACATGCCACCCACCTTTATAACTGTGCTTAGGATTGCACAAGCACATATATACTGTTGCTTTTATTTCTGACATAAAAATACACAAGTATGTAGCTGACTAATTATATCCTGAAATCCACCAAACTAAGTCATACTGACCATGAATAAATTCCACAGTCAAACTGGTTAAAATGGACATTTGATCATTACGCTTTAAAAAGAAATATCCACAAAAGTTTCCTCATCTTGCAGCCAGCAAATGAGCACTTATGTAAGGTTCCCTTTGGATAATGAGTAGATGAGTAAATGTTCCAAAATTTACTAATTTAAACAACTGTCTTTATTCACTCCAAGGCTGACTCAAAATTTGTCCTGAAATTGAGCGAAGCATTTTAAACACAGCGTTATAACTAAAGGCAAGGGCAAGAAAATGTTTAAATTCAACATTATTGCAACAGATAAGAATATTATTTTTCATAATATCTGTAATTAGCAGGAACTATTTAGATGAGGATTTTTCATAACACTCTCTCACTATAGTTTATCAATGTATACCATGTGTATTCAATGGCAATATAATTAGTAAGTGAAATACTGGTTTAGTGATACTATTGCTGTGGGTATTTAACAATTACTAACAGGAAAAAAAGAAAGCTTAACTCAAAAACTTGCCTTTCTATTTAAAATAGCAAATAAAGCCTTGTGTTACAAAACAAATACATAAGCGCAAGCAAGGTTGGTGTATCATCTACTCAATAAAAAAGTGCCCCCAAATCTATGTCAGTTGAAGCAAAAAAGTTGCAGCAGGCAAAAGAGCTCCTCAATTATTTCTTGCTTTTCAGAGCTAATGTAAATGACATCAAATACTTTTGGACAACTTTTACCAATTATAATTTCTATGTTGAAAAGTTTGTTTTTAAAAAACACAAAATGGTGCTAAATCTTTGAAATTACAGTCAACGGAGCTATTTCTGCCTGCCTACACTTGAGAACTCACCACATGTTCAACACTTTCTGGCAGCTAAACACAAAAAAAAATACAAGGAAAAAGAGAGAGAGAGAAAGAGAGATCATCAGAAACTGCCCACATTGAAATTATCACATTGTTTTTCAAGCTTAATTTTTTTCCAAGCAGAATTATTATAATTTACTTTAACAAAAAAAAGTAACTTAAAACTAATATTAATACATGCAGCATACAAAATTAATAGTTTATTCTTATGTTTACAGAAAAAATGAGCATCTATAGTATAGCAATAACTTTCATGCATCAACATTCCTAAAAATAAAAATATGCTGTTAACTCTAAATAAGAATTTGAGCATAGTTCTTAAATAACTATTTTTGTATTATTAAAACATCTACTGAAATAGCTCTATTTTAAACTTAGTGATTAAAAAAATTAAATATACCACTTGTTTTGCATGCATCTATTCCTTGAAAAAAATTTCCTTAAATAACTGTAATGACTATAAATCTCAAACATGCACAGTTTAAGAAAGAAAAGTTACTAAATCAGGAAAAACCAATACATACTTGGTTTCATCCATCACTTCTACTTCCGTAGGGGCTGTGATAGGTGCATTTGAACGTCCTGCAGTAGGATCATCTGTGTTTAATTCTCCATTTGTAGAACTTACAACCTGCAAAAAAGAAAAAATACACACACACACACACACACACACACACAAAGTAATAGGTTATACAATGATAAACATAAAGTATTTAAATTAGAAAGTTAATATGAGGAACACAAAACAATTAGTATGCAGTTGTTCATAACTGAATATACTAATAGGTCTACATTTTATTAAAGATAAGGTCACTCATTATTTGCTTTGCAACTTACTTCCTTTTCATCTTGAAATCTGTCCTCTGGTTTTTAAGGCTAACACAATCAGTTCCCTCTTGTGTGCCAGTATCTTTTGGTACCTTGCTACATCATGAATTACTTCCTTTGGAAACTTCAATATTGTTCCTTCCAATGGATCCTTCATTTCAATCTGTAACCATGCTCAGGTCTCACTCTCATGTTGCCCATTCATTCACCCAGTTGTTCAAGCTCCAAATCCAGAAGTTACTGTGATTCCACTCTTTGACTTAAACCATCAGCAGATCCTGTTAAATCCTCCCCTGACACACACCCCAAACCTAATCGGTCCTCCCCACTCTATGACTACCAGATCTGCAGTCCAGACCACCATTATCTCTTGAGTGAAGAAGAGCAAAAACCTATTAACTGGTCTGCTTTTACCCGTGTCCACCTCCCGTTAATGGATTGTCTACACAACAACCAAGGTGCTCCTTTTAAGATGTAAATTAGATAACACATAATTCTCTGCTTAAAGCTCTTCTAATGTCAACTTCCTGATTTCATTTAAAATAAACAACCATACTCTTTACTCCAATTTACAAAGCCCCACAAGATCTGAATCCTGCCTACCTCTCTGATCTCATAGCACTTTCCCTTTGCTCACTAGCCTCCAACCAATGTCAAGGTTATTTCTACCTTAAGGCCTTGGAACTATCTATTCTCACTCCCTGGAATTCTCTTCTTGCTTATTGTCTGTCTTCTTACCTTTCAGATTCTCAGAGAACATCTCTAAAACAGGACTTTTCCAACATACAATCTAGAACTTCCATGCAGGCACACTCTTACATGTTATACTTCACTTTTAATTCTTTGTATAGCATTTATCCATGTTGATGTTTTTCTGATTGACTGATTGATGTGTTTCTTGATACCCACCCCCATCTCCATTAAAATTAAGCTCCGGGCTTCCCTGGTGGCGCAGTGGTTGAGAATCTGCCTGCTGGTGCAGGGGACACGGGTTCGAGCCCTGGTCTGGGAGGATCCCACATGCCGCGGAGCAACTAGGCCCGTGAGCCACAACTGCTGAGCCTGCGCGTCTGGAGCCTGTGCTCCGCAACAAGAGAGGCCGCCAGTGAGAGGCCCGCACACCGCGATGAGGAGTGGCCCCCGCTTGCCACAGCTAGAGAAAGCCCTTGCACAGAAATGAAGACCCAACACAGCCAAAAATAAATTAATAAACTCCTACCCCCAACATCTTCTTTAAAAACAAACAAAAAAAAATTAAGCTCCATAACAGCAAGAGCCTTGTGTTGTTCCCCAAGAGATCTCCCCACTCTCTCTGGCACAGAATAGGCACTCAATAAATATTTGTTGAAATAAATGAATACATGCATGCACGTATGAAATCTTAAAGCAAGATAAAAACCATAACAAAACTCCCAAATTCTCTTGGTCCTACAAAGTGACCTTACTGTCTTATCTCTTGTTTTCCTCCAAACTTCTTGAAAACTATTGTCTTAATTTACCACTTCCATTTTTATAAAATTCTCCATTTATTCCTTAACTCCTCCCAATCTACACTGTCCCTACATCAGAACTCAAATAAGAGTTTATTTGAAGGTTGTCAATGATTCCTAGAAAATATGTTAATAGTCTTTGTTCAGTCTTCATTTGCCTGTACATCTCCCTATGACTTGGCACCAGCTAATAACTTAGGAGTAAGACGAATCTAGATTCAAAACCTAGTTCTACCACTTACCAGCTATGTGACCCTGGAAAGACATCTTACATTGCTAAACCTCAGTGTTCTCAACTATGAAATTGGAAACAGAAGTATCCATTTAATAAGGTTGATATCAGGATGAAATGAAATTAATATATAAAGTGCAGTGACTGGCATATAGTAAGAGTTCAACAAATGGTGGCCATCATTATTACCGTCAGTCTGACCTAAAGTGTGGCTTCAACTGTCATCTCTATGTAAAGGATTCCCTGAGCCTAACCACTCACCCACATGGCCAGTTAGCTAGACCAAGTTTGGCACCTCGCTCAGTATTTCTAAAACCTAATTTATCATACTCCCTTTTAAATCTGTTACTTTCCCTATAGTTCCTATTTCTGTTAAAGCCCTAGCCTCTTCCCAGACCTCCAGGCTCAAAATCTAAGAATCATTTTTAATGTTTTCTCTACCTGATCTCTTTATAATGTAACAAGGGCCTAAGCATCAGAGTTGACAGGTGACTACTAGACTTAAGACTTCCATTTACGGAAGCCCACATATTTCTAAAACTTAAGTTCAAAGAGGCTACAACACGTCAGGCACTGCTCTAGGAACTTGGAATACCATAGTAAACAAGAGAGACAAACATCCCTGCCCTTGTGGACTTAATAGTCTAGTTTGGAGAAATATGCTCTCTCCCCACCAACTCAAGAAGAATAACCAGAAATCAATCAATGTATCTAGATTAAGTCATGATTTATATATATCCTATATGGAACAAGTACTTAGAAATGCATTTGTGCCTACAGCTGAAAATATAAAACTGCCTTCATCATCTTTAGAGGCAATCCAATGGGAGGAATACTCCTATGTCTAAGTCGCCCTCTCTGCTTCTGTGGCACCTGCTTCCTCCTTTCTGTCATTCTATTGATCTCCGTGGCTCTGTGTCAATTTTTTCTCTTAAAATTCTCCCTCTTTCTGAACACATTAAAAAATACTTATCTGTTGTAATTACTAAGTATAATTGGGTTCTTAATTTTTAAAATGTCAGAGCCTCTGCAATGAACTGGAAAGGAATTAGAAAGCAGAATTCTTATCCTATACTTTTGTATTCTCCACCACCTTTAACTAGCAGAGTGCCTTGAATGTAGTGGATAATCGAAACAGTTCACTGAACAATTTCCATTGTTCTTTCCTTAACAATAATTATTCAATGGGTTTCTTTTCCCACTTTTGTTCAATGGCCCTAAATAGGTGGAGGGAGGCCCCCTCAACTTATAGGCAGCTCCCCAAAAGTATCTCCCCCTATTTAAGCAGCACAAATGAAAATTTGAAACTCAAGTACTCTACATTTCCAGCAACAATAACTATATATGCATTATAATTATAAAATCTGATTTATGTCACTTCACACACAGGCATAAGTGACTTTAACAGTCTTTATTTTAGTGAAATGTTTCAAGCTTCATTCTTCACTGATCAGAACCAGATCAAAAGGAAATAACATCTGACTTTATGAATTTTTTTAATGTAATTTTCCCTGGGCTTCCCAGATTCCCTAACCCTCTGAGTAAAGGCCAATATCCCAGGGTCAGAAGAGAATCAATGTGGTGACAGAGTTCTGTGAAGCTGACCCACTTAAAAGTAGTGATGTGAGAATGTATCACAGCATTAAAATTGTTTCCACTTAAGAAAACTAGTGGTCTTTTTGCAAACAGATTTTAGAGGAAGAACCAAAGACATAATATTATAAATAATATGTCAATATCTTCCTGGAAACCAAAATTTGGCTTATTTTTGTAAGCCAAATTTTGAAGAATGATTCCATTTAGGTGACATTTCTAGAATTATAACTCACACTAGAACATAAGAATCTCTGAAATATTAGTGTTTATCAGGCTCCTTAACAAAAGTATATCTAAAAATCACAGATGCCTTGAGGTTTGACATTTCAAAAGAAAATTCAGGGTTTTTGTTGCTGCTGTTCTTGTTCTTAAAGAAAATTTCTGTTATTCCCACTTGATAAGAAACAGTGCAATTCTCGTTTTAAGAGGTTTATAAAAAAAAGGCAACTAGGCCAAGTTTTACCATCACTGTATCAGAATTGAAGGGGAGGCGGTGGGGAAACAGCGTGCAGCTAAGCGTGGGAGAAAAACAATGGTCCATTTAATGGCTGCCTGCCCAATCTAATTCCAAAAGAAGTCATTCTCACGGACTTGAGTACAAAGATAACACATGGTATCTTTGTGATCAACCATGTCAAAAGGCCAATTAATACAGTTTCCAAATATAATTAATTCAATTTAGTTACACTACTATTTTCCTAATTTGGAGTCTTGAAGAATGTTACCAAGCGCTCAGTAGAGGCACAATATATTAAATTAACCAGATCTTCATCTATCCAATAAATATATTAGAAAGATTAAAAGATTACCTATTTTACTTACCCACTCAGCTTTTTCTAAAAGTCATCTATAAGAAAGCACACTAGTAAATAAGATATAGTTAAAAGAGTAACTTCCAAAGAGTTTACTGGACCTGTGCTAGGGTTCACATAACTATATGAAACCAACTTTCTAACATATTCTAAAAGCTATAGAGTTACAATTAATATTCTTGATATTCCAATTGATAATCCAAAGGCCCAGTGACATTCTCAGTGACTTTCAACAAAAGAGAAACCAAAACGGATTCTCAATCTAATGTTCACTTACACAAGTATTAAGCAGAGCACTCTATTTGAGTATTTCAGTCTTTCGAGATGTTACTGGCAAAGTGCTAAATTCCTGAACTTGAGATATCTGGTTTTCTTTAATTAACAATAATCTTTTGATGTTCACACTACCTGCCCTTTGCTGCAAAACTCCTATTTATCCTAGCTCCCCCCATCACCTCCTTGGAGCAGTTCTCTAAGGGTCACTTGACATGCTGCCTTCTGGGCTTGACGTCCTAAAACTTCCTGCCGAATTAAACATAACTCTAAACTTTTAGGTTGTGAATATATATTTTTAGTCGAGAAAACCACAGCATTTAAAAAGTCTCCTGCCTTTTGTTTTGGGAAAAGCAAGCTCAGTTTACACTATATTCTCTTCCCTACTACAGTAGTTATT